TGGTGGCCGGGGGCCTATAGTTTAGGACTTAGAAAATTTTCTAAGTAATATTCACTGATGGCCCCTCGACTGATGTCTCCCTTTAGTCCGCATGAATGCCATGAGCTGACCGAGGGCCTAAGATTTAGGACTTAGACGCTTTTCAAGTGGTGCTTTGCCACTAGGTCCTCGACTGACACATCCCACCAGCTGTATGAAGTAGCCGGCCTTTGCCATATGTCCCCAGGGGAACCGATGTGTGGACTTAGCCAAATTTTGAGTGATGTCATGAGTGTGCCCTCAGCTTGTAGTAGTCTTAGGCAAAGTTTTCCTTAGCAAAGGATGGTGATGCCGGGGGCCCTAAGTCATGGACTTAGAGAATTTTGTATTGGGTCTGCAACCAGTAGCCTCCGGTGCTGAATGTGGTGATAGTCAAACTTGGCCCATTCCTAGCATAGGAGCCTCCGGTGATGTTGGATTCCAAAGTGTGGACTTAGGAAATCTTGAGTCCAATGTATTATAGCCTTCGACTTTGTCTTTCAAATTGTAGGCTTAGATGATCTCAGCCTGAAACATGAGCCTCCGGCGTTAATTTTCAAAATGTAGGCTTTGGGAATTAAGTCCCATATACAGCGTTTGATGCCTCCGGTATGTGTTGAAATTTCGGGGGCTGACGGAACGTGGACTTGGCCACATTATGGTAACACTTTGGTGGATAGTATCCTTCAGAATAAATGCCAAAGGTGACTTCCTGAATAAGATCCCTCAGGTACCAGAGGTGTCCCCCAGGGGAGCCTTTGGTATAATCTGTAATGCCTTGTGAGGAGCATTCTTGGTAGCTGCCGTCGGGTGTTTTGTTGTGAATGTTGAAACTTGTACTCAATGATTGCTCGTTGAGTCTACTCCCCTTCACCCCATTTTTTTATAGCGAAGGGAAGGCTTCAAGAAATTTGGTTTCTTGGTAAGGCTTGGCCTATCAGGAGGCAACAGTATACACCACTGGCTCCCCCCTCGGGGTTAACCTTCCGGGTTCCGAGGGGATCGAGGGTCGTTTCCTTGGCCCGAGACATAGTTTGTTGTCTGCCTCCCCTTGGGGGATGGCGCGGAAAGCGCCTCAGTTTTGAAAGTCGTTCCCTCGGCTCGAGACATAGTCTGTTGCCTACCATTCCCTTGGGGTAATGGCGCGGGAAGCGTCTCGTTTTTGAAAGTCGAATCCTGAGGCATATTAGGTGTCTGCCATTCCCTTGGGGTAATGGTGCGGAAAGCGTTTCATGGAAGGGTTTTATTTGCATATTAGTTGCAAATGGCCGGGGGCACTTGGTGCCGCCGGGACCGATAGGTGGCACCTTCGACATAGTGCGTCCTCGAGGGGTACGACTTTATTTTTAACATTTGGTGTTATTTTTCATACATTGTCCCCGGTACTTGGTGCCGAGGGGTTTTCCTTAAAAACACTTGATGTTTTCTTCTATCATTCGGAGTTGATAGGAGTGTCAACCCCTGGTACTTGGTGCCGAGGGCTCTTGTATGTGACAAGGCCTTGGGTCTGGGGGCTTGCGTGAGGGCTTGGCCGCTCACAAGCGTTTTGTTCTAGTACTTGATGTCTTCAACATATCTTTATTCTTTATTCTTGATGTACTTGATGAGGCTCCTTGAGAAGTTCCCGGTACGGAGGACCGTCTGTAGGAGGGCCATGAGGGTCCTATCGTCGGTGACATCGACTTTGTCCGTCTCCAGCCTCCAGCGCTTAAGAAAGTCCCAAAGGGTCTCCTCCTTCTGTTGCCTTATTGTGAGTAGGTGGGAGAAGTGTTTCTTGGACCGGTGCCTTCCCGCAAATTGTGTCAAGAAACGTTGGGCGAGTTCTTGCCACGAATCAATGCTGCCCTCGGGCAACCGGTTGAACCATTTATACGCCGGTCCCTCCAAGGTGGAAAGGAACCAACGACATAAATATTCATCCGATGCCCCCATCATCATCATGTTGTTTTGATACCTACTGTAGTGCTCCTGGGGGTTAGTTTTTCCTCCATAGGACTTGATGAGTTGCCGTCGGTACTTCCCTAGAATTTGGGCTGCCAATACCCTTGGGGTAAATGGCGTCCGAGTTCGGAGTTGGATGACGGGTTCCCCGGAGCCTTCGACAAATTTTCTTTACATCTCCTCCATCTTTGGTAGCATGGAGGCGTATTTGGGGTCCGCCTGTGAGGCGGAAGCGGTTGTGTTGGTCTGGCGGGCCTCCATTTCATCAAGGCGGCGTTGGAGGGCCGCGATGATCTCGTCTCTGGGGTCCTTCGGGAGGGCCTCCGCCCCCTGCGAACGGACACGGGCCGAGTGAGCCTGGTTTATTTGGTGCCTGGCGTCGTCGGCATGGAGTAGTCCCTTGCCTTTGTCCTGCGGGAGACGTCTTTCATCTGCCCTTGAAACGGATCCCCCGCTCTCTTGGGGTCTTTGGAACGCCTTTCCACCGAAGCGGTCTTGGACCCCTCGGTGGTCTTGCGCCCCTATGAGCCGTTCGAGGGTGGAGGTCCTGGGCCTTTCCTTGTTTGTGCCATGGCGGTCCCGGGATTGGACCTCCTGGGAGGCGGTGTCTTGAGCCACGACCCCTTTGTCGTTCCCAATCCGAGGGGTAGGATTCACGAAGGGGGGTGGACGCGGGAGAGCTATAGCGTTCTCCCCGACCTGTGGTTGAAGACTTGAAGGGGCACCAGAGTGCCGAAGGCACCCGGATTTTGGGTGAGTGTTTGGATAAAGGCGGAGAATGCCGACTGCACGTCGATAGTGAGGGCCGGAGGGCTCACTTGGTTTTCGCTCCGGTCCTTCCTTTTGGCCTCGATGCCGAGGCGGGCATCAGGGGCATTCTGTTGGAACTGAAGGCACGTCGACAGCCGTCTGTTCCAACCCAGCGAGGGCATCGCCCTCGGGAGCCCTGTTGGAGGCTTCGGGGGCGTCGACGTCGTTGAGGGCCAGATTCCTGTCCTCATGAGTCTTGGATTGGGCACGAGTTGCTCTCACCATTTTGATAGGTTTTTGTGTTTGATGAAGGGGAGAGTTTCTTACTTGATTGTTCGACCTCTCAACGAGAGCACCAAATGATTGATAGTGTATCCGGGGTAGCTTATCCGAGGGGTTATTGCGGGGAATAAGTAGAGAGAAGTAAGAGCAAACAAATACGAGAGAGAGTATGTATTTGATATGAATTCAGTGTGGTCTACAATGGAAAAATGGGTGCTATTTATAGCAGCAATGAATGCTAGATAGGGACATGTGTTAATAATCTGGTGGTCGAGGGGTCACCTTAACCGGGGTGGCACTCACACTCGCATGTGGCCGTATTAAATGCGGCGGTTGGATGTGACGTTTGTACTTGACACGGTGATCCAGCGCATGTTTGGAGGAGATTCTGTCGAGGAAGACGCCTTCTACTCCATGGGCCGGGGGCCTCTTTGCCTCGTGGGGTAGCACCGTAGACGTATCCTGACTCCTGAGTAGGCGCAGGCGTCACCGTTGAGAGCTCCACCAGTTTTCTTCTAATTTCTGTTGTGATACAGAGTATTATTTTTGTATTTTACATTTCATATAGCCATTTTTAGTCTTGAACTCTAATTTCCCTTGCGATATTTATTTTTATATTTTACTTCTTGTGCAATTATGTATCTAAAAATTACGGCCTCCTGAATTGAAATCCCGAATCAACCCTTACTCATTATCATTTTAATCCCATTATTTTTTAGATGTTTGATTTTAGTAATACTTTATGAAAAAACTCGATTTCAGATATTCATAAGTTCAACAAATTATTTAAGTGCCTTTCAAAAAAGATTATTTATGTATTTGACTATTTTCATGTTAAGCAATTTTTCCCAATGAAAATCATTTTATATTACTACGTAAGAACCAACTGCTTGAGACCAACTCTAACAAGCACCATTTATCACACCAAAATGGTGTATTTCCCAAAAAATTGCTCCAACAGCCACTCCATTTTCAACACCATTACACCAAAATGGGGGAGAGGGGGAGAGTTCACACCAAATATGGCGCACACCAAATGTTCCACCATTTTTTGTTTTAATTTTTTTTTATTTCAAAAGTGACCCAAAGTTTTGATTGTTATAGTTTTGACCCATTTTTAAAACAACAAATTAGGATGTTTTTACTTGGACTGAAATTGCTGGTCTGCTCTAGTCTGATATGATTTGGTCTGATCTGAACTGATGTGGTCAGGTCTGATTTCTTTATATTTTTATAACTACTCAAGTTTGGTCAATCCGGCCTGATCTGATCTGGAACAAATCGCAATCCAACTAAAAACCTCCGTATAGAACAAGTAATTAAAACTATTAATTTGATAGAAAATAAAAAATATAATTAAATTTAAATCACACAATATTATAAATAGAGTTTCAAATCCAAACAACATAATAACAGAATACAAATGATACTTAAGAAAATTACATAATTAAAATTGCAATTAATAACACCATTATAATTAAAATTAAAACATAATTTAAAACATACATAGTACATACTAATTTAAAAATTAGTAGTCATTCAACCCGCTTCCTGACCCTCCAAGACCATCAAATTGATTCCCAAATGCATCTGATTCCCAATTATTATTTTTTGTAAAATTTAGAAATGACGTACAAATTATTATAATATTATTGTAATATTAATTTTATGTGGTTTTAGCTCGTATTTGTGAAATATTGATTATTGTATTTTAATTAGTTAAATGCGTGAAAATGCATATTAAAATTGTGTATTTTAGTTTGTATGTGTGAAATAATGTGTGAAATGTCAAAATATTAAATGAGGGGCTAATGTATAAATATATGATAATTACATACCTAAACAGAAGAATGGTAAAAAGTTAGTAAAAAGATTAAAAAGGGAATATTCCTTTTTGGTGTTTAAAATGGTGTAAACTGTTGGAGGTAAAATATTGCATGATGTGATGTTTACACCATTTTAGTGTAAAAAATGGTGTAGACCGTTCGAGATGGCCTGAACATCACCAACACAACCAAAAAATCAAACGGCCGACAAGGCACTTACTGATGAGACACAAGCCCGCACAGTTCAATCCTATTATACAACCAAGAGTCTCACTGCGAACCATTGTAGGTGATCCGCTTTCTATTTTTGCCGCGATCTTGAGGATCTGCCGTTCACACACTCAATCCAATCTTGCTGTTCTCACGGTTTCTTGACTCAGGTTTGTATGTTCTTTTCGATCTCTCCCCGATCATGGATAGAATTTCAGTTAATTTGGCTTTACAAATGAGAGATTCAAGCGGCGGAAGGGAGTGCTATTTTTTCTTTGGTTTGGTCGACTAATCATGAGCTCGATTTCTGAAACAATATAGTCATTTCTGTATCACTGTTTACATAAATGAGTTATAATTTGGTCTTTCATAAAGTTTCGCATAATAGATTGTAGGATTGAATAACATTTACAGTCCTGGGACGTATAATTCTAGACAGAGTAAATTGATGTTTTGAAACAGTCTTTAATCATGTTTTTGTTTGCAACATGCTTTGAGCATTTGCAGAATCCTTAAATCCTTTTATTATCATATGCATACAGTCATAACTCATAAACCATATAGAATTTCGAATGCCGTTTCTGAAATTTGACCATTGTATACATTGATAATCATGAAAGTTCTATTTGTTCCATTGCTTCTGCATGTTGAATTAATCCTTTTGATGGAAACCAGAACCAGATAGATATGTTTTCATTGTTGTACGGACTCTGGGAGTATGCCTTCAGCAAGACAGAGTTTCATGTCCTTATCCTGGGGATTGACAAAGCTGGAAAAACGGTATCATTCAGATGTAGTTTTCTTTTCAAATCCCCCACCATCTCAATCCCCTAACCTTTTATTTGCATATCGTAAAAGGAGCTCATTATTTCACATTTCATACTTTACAGTTTTACATTGGCTGCTATTCTGCTGCTACGGTTTGTTATAAAAAAAGTCCATTTTTGACAACCTTAGATGCAAAAAGTTGCCATTTTTATTTTGTCTCTGTCTGAATGTTTGTTCAAATTTGTAAAAGAATAATGATAGAAATAGTATTTCAGTAAAAGCTTGCAGGAACATTCACCTATATTCGTCCATTCATAATTATAATTGGATAAATCGCCACGCCCTTGATAAATTTTACTTTTAGAATTTAGCCATGCCCCAAGAAGCTAATACTCTCTCAGGCCCCAATGTAGCATTGTAGTTTCCCATTTTCTTTGCCACTCTTATTAATAATATGAGATTGTGCATTTCAGATTTATTTAGAAATGAAAGAGAAATTATCAACCTCCCCTTTTTTTCCTTGAAAGGAAATGAAAAGAAAATTTATGATGGATGAAAAGGAAAGTAGAAAGCTAATCTGGAAGAGAGGGATTAACCCCCCCCCCCCCCCCCCCCCGCTCCCTCTCAAAAAAACTGTGCTCAATCCGTCCTATTGTTTTGATTTCTGTTTTGAGTTATAAACACCAAGTATGGTCCAACTTCTTTTTCTTGTTGGTTTCATAAATGATGTGTGATTTTGTGAGGTAAAATATTTGATTACAGCTAACTTATGTTTTTCATTTAGACATTATTAGAAAAGTTGAAGTCACAATTCTTGAACATAGAAGCCCTTCCACCTGATCGCATTGTTCCAACTGTTGGACTGAATATCGGGCGTGTTGAAGTTTCAAATTCAAAACTTGTATTTTGGGATCTCGGAGGGCAGGTACATGAAAAAACTTTAATGATAAACTGTGATTGGGATCTTGATCATATACTTTTGAATTATGAACTTTCATGAACCAGTCTCTTGTAGTTGGGATGAATATTGTAAATGGTCTGTATTCCACTAAAGGTGGTCCTAAACAGACATCCATAGTTTATATGGATTTTTATGATTTATTTGTTGCTTCAGCCTGGTCTTCGCTCAATCTGGGAGAAGTATTACGAGGAGGCACATGCTGTTCTGTTTGTGATTGATGCTGCTTGCCCGTCACGTTTTGAAGATGCTAAATCTGCACTTGGTAAATCTTCATACATTAATAATGCATTTCTAGTCACTGTATATAGCCTGATTAATGAATACATGTTGTTGAAGGCACTCATGGTTTGTAAATAATTGGCAGAAAAGGTTCTCCGGCATGAAGAGCTCCAAGGAGCCCCACTTTTGATTTTGGCAAACAAGCAGGTAATTTCTTTGATTTCCTTGGGCCATGTTTGGAACCTAGAATATGGCAGGGAAAGGCAAAAGAAACATTAAATAAAATGGATTGGAGTGTTGGTTTTGACTTGAAAAATACAATGACAAAGCTGTTTTTCTTTGTTTTCACATTTTCTAGATTTCTTGGTTCGAAACGTATAAATAAGTTGAGCGTGAACAAGCTCTTATTTTTCCTAAAATTTATTTCCTTCCAAACTCCCCCCTCTGTTTTAATTCGTATTTTGTTTACGGGTTCCAAAAGGACCATTAGAGAAAATGGAACAACTTTGTGTTGCTGAAGATTGTTTTTTCATGAACGGTATTAGGGGAATGAACAAACTTTGATGGATCTCCTAAGCTTTCTTAACAACAATTGTAATGTTTCTTGAACTTGTTGATACCAGGATCTGTCCGAAGCTGTTTCAGTGGAAGAACTTGACCGGTATCTCGATCTCAAGAAATTAGATGAGAGGGTCTACACTTATCAAGCCGTTTCAGCATATGAAGGGTGAGTGGAAGAACTATTTCTTAGACTTCCAACTGTGATTATTGGCCATAATTTCAATCAAGCACTAACTTCATTAGTTTTGCTTTCAGTTGATAGTCAATAAAAGTGCAAACATTGATTTTTTTGCATTTAGTTGATAAAAGTGCAAGAAATGGTTTGTTTGTTTGTCTGTTTTCTGAAATGAATGAAATGCAAGTAAATGACACCTTAACTGTCATTTATGGCATCAATCTATTGATAAATAATTTGTAAAATATAATTTAGATAATTGAAAATATTAGTCAGTGAGACGCAATTGCAACATAAGTCATCATGCAACATAACCCAAAAATTACCCTAATCAAATATGTGTTCCAAAGTGGTTGTGACTAAAATTAACTTGACTTTTGGTTACAGGACTGGAATCAAGGAGAGTGTGAACTGGCTTGTGAATGCTATGGAGAGAAGTAAGCGAACAGAAAGGCTGAAGCAGCGTGCTGAGTCCACCAGTTTTTGATATATGCTCAAGGCCATAATAATAATAATAGTTAGTATTAGGCTATTAGCATTTCATACTCTGTAATCTGTATGATCCTTGTGTAAGTAATCCATTGCTTACTTTATTGGTAGCTTGTAAAATTCAAACCAATACACACTTGAATGACAGAAACAATATTTTTTGGTCACTACAAGGTGAGATTCTAGTTTGCTGTCATCTACAATCCTATTCACATAGCAGCAAACGACAAGTTTCTTTTGGTCCTATTCAAAGATCGGTTTCATAAGCTTCTGGCTTGAACCAAGGCGAAGTCAACTCCTTTGATTTTCAGTTTTTGCGTTTCAGGACCAATTTTTTCGATAAGCTGCAAAAGAAGACAAATGCAGAAAGACTTAGCTGTTGAATGAGGTGATCAAAGCCTTGTTACATTACAGGGATGTAGAAGGTTTAATGTGATATCTTAATGTGAAAAAAATAAGATATATTTTCCCATTATCATGAAACAAATTTTGAAAGCTTGAAATGTGAGAACCAAAATCAAACGGGAGAAAGCTGACCTTGTCATAATGTCATGAAGGGCACCATCTGAATATACAAAAAATTCACCAGGCCATGCGGGAAACAAAAGCACCATATATGAACTTGCAAGAGCATGCGGATAATTTTCATGATTTTAATGTCAATGAAAATTGAGTATGGATTAAGTGCTCAAATAGGACTTATTTAGTTCTATTAAAAGAATAAACTGATTAAAACTTTTCAAATAGGGAATGTGTCCTATTTTGGGAATAAATCGTATGTAAAAGCTCAATTCCTTCCTGAGGTATATAATTACCCAATAAATCGTATATTTTGAGGTAATAAACTAATTAATTACCTGAGTTGACCTCCATCTCAATCACCATAAAGCTTTTGTAATCATTTTCCAAAAATGATTGAATGCGATTGTGGATATTGTTGGTGAGTGACTGAAGCTGCTAGATGATCTGATGGAACAAAATCTTAAAAAAGGCCTACTTTTGTTATCTGTTATTCTCTCCCCACATTTAACTTTGTTCAACTTTTAGGTTTAAAGAAAATTTTATGAAAAAATTACGTTTGTACCTGTAAGTTCTTAACTTCTTATGTTTAGCCAGTATCACTGTATCAAACATGATTCGTCTTATACAAAAACAAAAAAAGGTTGGTGATACAAATAAAATATATAGGTGTGTATATCAAGAATTACAATCATTCACAAATTTTAAAAAATTATATTGTATATATAAATAATACCGAACTCATTAACTTCCTTTTTAAGTTTCCCAATTTTAGCAGCCTTTTCTCTAAATGATGAAATTTGAAAGAGATTTTTTTTTAAAAAAATATTACTGAAATAAAACTTATTCACAAAATATGAACTCCATATAAGTTATTGTGACTAAAATTACTACTACAATCACCTAGCTAACTTAAGAGGTCATAATTTTATAAATAACATTTACTTTAACCATAAATATGTAATTATTTCAATTTTAAATAAATGGATCGAGTTATCTAAAAACAAGCAATTATTTTCAGTATGAATTTGCTAAAAGTGACAATTTTATTAACTTTCTTCATATGATTAAGTTATTCTATATTTTGTTAATAGGGTATATTTAAATATGATTTTTCGTAATTATTATGTAGATTAATTAAATTCAGCCATTACTTATGCTTTCTAAAATCAGACTTTCCCTTTTTAGTTACTTTATCTGCTCTAATAATATTTAAAAACGTTCTACTAACTAAACTTTATATACCCAAAATTGAAATTACATTAAAAAAAATTATTGAACAACGAATTAAGTTTTATTATACTCCCTCCGTCCCGGTCATTTCTTCCAAGTTTGACTTGTCTCGCAAATTTAGAAAATGAGAATAAAGTGAAAATGGATGGTTGTAGTTGTGTAAGAAAAATGTGAATGAATGTGGACCATAATTTTTTTCCAAAAGTGAAAGTTGGAAGAATTAATTGGGACGACCCAAAAAGGAAAGTTGGAAGAAATGACTGGGACGGAAGGAGTAACACGTTTGATATACAAAATTAGTGAACTGATATTCAATTTTTGTCTGGTCAATTACCTGATGCATGAGACTGTCTCAGTCTCAATTCACAAACCATCTTAAAGACATCTTAAATTTGTAATGAAAAGAAAACCAGCTAATAGAATATTATAGGGACTCTTATGTAAATACTCATTTATTTATTAGTATATATATGATGATAGGACTCCCAAAGAGGACCAGCCATTCTATTCCCACAATTATTCTTTCATACCAGCTGTACCCCCATAAATAGAAAAGAAAAAGAAAAGGGATTAAAAGACTTTAATATTATTACCAGATCATGCTGGCAGCTTCAACCTCTCAAAACCAACAATATATATAATATATTTATACATCCATCAACAAAGATCAGAGAAGAGATAGGTATGATATGGGAGTGTGTGTGTATATATATATATATATATATATATATATATATATATATAGACACACACATACATATAGATCAGATGCCATGGCACACGCATGCACACATCTGACATATGATCTGATATCTTATGTATGATGAGAGTCAATTTATAGAGAAAATTGTGTATTGGAATGTTGTAATTTAATAGATGTATTATATTATTTCTGTTTACAGCTATTGACACTGACTTTGTCCCTCAAAATCTTTCTTCATATATATATGTGTGGTCATGGGGATGGATATATATTTTTTGAGATAAAAAAAAACAAATTTTATGAAGACAACTGTAACACCTCATACTATACAACAAATATAGAATTGATCTCACCTCCTACCCTCCTCCTAGCAAGTAGCAAAAGCAACATGAAAAATAGACCTTTTGATGCATGTTACTCAGTATTAATTAATTGTAGCAAAGGCATGACAAAAGTTTAGAGTTCATTATGGATACAAACTAAATAACAAATAGTGACTTGTGTATAATTAAAAAAAAAGAATAATTGGAAAATTTTAATTCTTACACGCGGTAATTATATTAATAACATTTAGTGACTAAGATTATGTATAATTTCACACTACAATGACCATGATATTATACTCGTGGTAACGTCAGTCACTTTTTTACAAGTTTTATTTAAGTAATATTTTATAGAGAAAAACCCGTACAAATAATCCCAATATAAGGGAAAATGTTAATCAACATTATCCATGTAGCCATACGTAGCTTTACTCGCATATTCTTGCCATAGAAAATTTTGAACTGTCTAATAAATTTGATGTAGAATTATCTAGTAAGTTTGATATTTAATACTCCCTCCATCCCACTAAACTTTGTTAGCTTTCTTTTTGTGATTTTTCCAAAAAAAAATTGTCACTTTCTAATTAAAATACCAGTAACTAATTTGTGAATTTGCTCATTTCTCTCTTCTCTGTACAAATCTAAATCACACATTTTTTTCTTTTCTTATTTTTCACCAGATTTGAACTTGGCAAAGTCCACCACGATGGAGGCAATATTTAGTACGGAGTATAAGATAATATCAAGTTTGAGATTAATTTTGATAGTATGAAGTGTATGTAATATATTTATATTTTAATTATTTAGATGTTATCATATCCTCTAACTTTATTATAAGTAGAGATCTTCATTAATGAAAAGAGGAGAGTCATAAAAATGCAGCACAAGAGCGTAAACTGTCGATAGAGTTTTTAAAAGAATTATATGTTTTAATTCCCCTATATTTTTCTATTGATTTTTTTTTCTTCATTTTTTTCGCTCTTTACACATATCAAGTCCTATAATTTTTAAATTTGTTGATATTGAGCACTATGTACTTTCCAATGGAGTATAATGTACTGATTTTCATTACAAGAACAGATAATTCATTATCTACAAGAAGAGATGATTTGTTATTAATGAAAGTTAGGAATTAGTTACAAGCACATGAATTAGTTATAAGCCTAAATTAACAAATCATTGACAGGCACGTTATTTTTATAAATTTAGTTCTAAGCTTGTTAAATTACTTTCATCTTTTTATTGACCTACTTATTGTTATTAATATTTATATTAACTAAAATCACTTTCATCTTATTATTGACTTATTGTTATTAATATTTATATTAATCATCGTTATTATAATCATCATCACCAGTATAAATATTACTCCGTATTGTTTTTTTAATGAAATATTATTGTTATGATTAGTAGACTACTGTAATTACATGCTGCCAGGTTGGTGTAATGGTTGCGACTTGCGATCAGATATGGGCATCTTTTCTATTGGAGCAGATAGGATCCCAAAATATATTCTTCTCCCTCCCTAAATTACATTTCCGTTTTATCCTTAAAAAAATTACACTCCATCAGCACCCCTAACACTGACCGGACACTTAGATAGGAGGATGTAAATTGGACTTTAATCCATATGCATTTTAGGATAGTAAGCTCTCATCGCAGTTGCCAATTCAAGATTCGAACCCGAGACTTACTCTTTGTGTCACCCCCTATCTACCAGTTGAGCTACGTCCACCGGTAATTTTCGTTCTATCCTAAAAATTATGTTTACATTCCTTTTTAAAAATACTAATATGAAAACAGACTTTGTTACTCTTTAATAAGAGCACATAAATTAGTACTCATTTTCCCAACATTATACAACTATATTCGTCAACACAAAAAGTTTAAAAATGGTAGACTTTCGTTAGTCAAGAATGTTCAAATTTCCTGTCTATGAAATATGAATGCTGGATTAGTTGATACGATTGTCACATGGTTTTGTCTTCGTGACTTAAATTAGTTCAATTGGATCCAATAATCCTTGGATGATCAAGGTTGTCATTTGGCTTTTAGGTGGTATAGTAGTTGTGATTAATTAAGTTGTTAACACTTCCTATTTTGCATTGAAGAATGGAGCAATTTAATTTTTTTAGTGTATTTTTTTTAACATTTAGCTCTCTCCATTACTCCCTGTGGTCCTAAATAAAGTTCACATTTTCCTTTTTTGGCTGGTCCAAAATAAAGTTCACA